TTTATGTTCTAGAAGTCCTTTAGGTAGGTACTGAGTTCATTTCTATCCTTTCAGAAATCCAACTTTCAACTGTACGTTGTCCATCAGTCATTCAGTTACCAGTAATGGAGAAGTTTTATTTACTTTACCAAATTCTAGCCGCGTCAGTTTTTCAGAATTTGAAGTATAAATTATAGGACATAACACAAACATAACATCACGCCTTTTATCCCCGGAGGGGTAAGCATAGTAAGGGGTAAGGTGCACATTATGTCACTTAATGTCACTGTACAATGTAACACCCACTTTTCACTGTTTATGTTATGAGGCACATGTAATAGTGAGCCTATTGCCATATACCGGGCGCAATTCTAGACTCCGTGGTACTACTGAGATTTTTCACTTGTTTAATTTGTTTCACTTGACCACTCGGCCAAAGAAGCAGCTGTTGAAGTCGTTGTTGATAAGCTTTGGGAAATAAATGCTTTTCCACACTTTGACGCTGTACAACAACGGGAAATACTTATTTCCATTAATTATTTAAAAATTAAATTATAATACAAACATTTATTTAAAACTGATGATTTCCACGCGGTTTCGACCGATCTCCTCGGCTCCTGCTGATAGTAGCGTGATGTCTTATAGCTTATAGCCTTCCTCGATAAATGGCCTATCTAACACGAAAAGAATTTTACCAATCGGACCAGTAGTTACTGAGATAAGCGCGTTCAAACAAACAAACAAACTGTTCAGCTTTATACATACAGTATACATATAACTTCACGCGTCTCCCATAGGGGTAGGCAGAGACTATGGAACGCCAATTGTTACAACTCCTACATACCTCTTTCGCTTCATTAATAGTCATCAATCTTTTCATGCATGCTCGTCGGTTAAGGGTACCTACTTTTAATTTGTCCTTCTTTAATATATCGCCAATCTGTTCAATATATGTTCGTCTAGGGCGCCCTCTACCGACGGCCCCATTCATATCCGCTTTATATAATAGTATAATATTACTTTGATCAACCCTGTGCCTTTAGCCAAACGGCACTTTAGCGCTTGTATAGAGAGTAGAAAACTAAATGTATGAGGTTGACACTGACAAGTGTCAAAATTTACGTCAATTCCATTTTTTTTTAATGGGGGAAAATAATCAAATGACTGCTCTCGCCTGGGTGAGGCGGGAGGGAGTGTCAGACTCTTACTGACTAAAAACCACCCCGTTCCTTCTTCTGCATGTCGAGCCGGAGCCCCGGTTACCCGTTAGGTTCTCCGCGACTCCGAATCTGCATCGGCCTGTTGGGCCCCATCTGTGGTGTTCTAATGGTTCTTTGAGGCGCGCGCGGAACGCGACGCGCCGTACGCTCGGAACGTCAATTCCATGTAATTTGGTTTTCTATTCTACATGTAGACAAGCGCTAAATGGCATTTGGCTACAGCTGCAGAAAAGGGAGTCCGGAGGGAGAAAACAGTAACAACAAAGTTCAGTTGATAAATCAAGATCATCGAAATATTTATTCGGATAGACGTACGTATAGAGGATAAAGAATTTATAAACGTAAGTCTAACTTAAATGCTGTCGTTTTGGCATCACCAGAGTTCATCTCAATATAAAATAAACCTGAACCTGAGAAGGTAACAACCTTCTTTGATTCCTTCAGATGTTTAGTCCCTTGTATCCTTGGTCATCTCTTACGCCACCCGTGGGAAGGGCAGAGATGGTTACACTTATATTCCAGTACTCTGCCATTATGCAAGAAATTATATGTTGTTATTCTGTCAATATGCTAGTACCATGTAATATAAAATCAAGTTTTAAGTGTCTAATAATTTTAATCAATGTTTAATTAGCCTCTGACCGCAGTTTGATAAATATTGTTAATTAGTGGTACTTTGTGATAACAGGAATAGAGTATGACATAATAATATCATCTACACAGTACACGTGTAATAAGAAATGCAACATGATAATAAAATTAGGAAATGCCTATACCTATTGTTTTTTGAAAAATATCAGATTACCAGGAAATCCAATTTCTTCAATCCCCGAATCGAACAATCCTCAAATTCCTAATCCCCAAAAGGCCGGCAACGTATTTGTAATGGCTTTAGTGTTTTGGGGTGTCCATGGGCGACGCCGATTGCTACCTATCAGGCGATCCTTCTGCTCGTTTAGCGGCTTTCCTCATAAAAAATACACATTTTATCCTATTGTTCAGGGAATAACCGACGTTAGGCAAAACCCATTTTACCTACATTTATTTGTGTTTTATTATCCCATAGCACAACAAAAATTCTATTAAAGGCTGATATTTTTAACGCCAGATAAATTTTAACTAAGGAATAACTTTGAATAATTGACAAATCTTCCGTACTAAGAACTGTCAATTGTCAAGTTAATTCTACAGATAAGAATTAACTGATGATTGAAAAAAACGGCTCTTAGTGATTGGGAAAGCATTAAATAATGACAGTCATAAGCAATGAAGCGATTGAAGGTTCGTGCTAAATGCCAAAATATAGAAACCGCATCAAGTTATTCCAGTTGAAATCGAAATTACTGTAACATCATTACTGTTTGATATTACTGATAGTCTACTGGTGCATAACCTCCTCGTCATAAGAGGGTTTGTCATAATCGCCTCGGCAGGCAGGCAGGCTAGAGGTCGCAGTTACAGAGGGCCAGGTTTATCAAAGACCGCTGCATGTCTCTGCCAAGTATTTAGTCTCCTAGTAGTTTTTTTAATAGAAATAAATGCATTATTCACACAATTTATACTCATTGCCAATAATTTCAAAACCAATAAAAGTTTATTAAACATAACACTGATAACGATATCTCTGTTATCAAGTCCCAATATTTGTATTGGTATGATTTACAAGTGGCCCCACCCAATGTCGCCCCCACAGCTCGATCATAAATCCTACACAAGCTCCTTGAGAACAATTTTTAATTAAATATTACCAAAATGTCTGCCTCGTTGGCCGAGTGGTCGCAAGTGCGCCTGCCGGGTAAGGGGTCTCGGGTTCGATTCCCGGGTCGGACAAAATATTACTGGGTTTTTCATAAATTCTCAGTAGTAGGACGGAGTCAGGAATTGTGCCCGATATATGGTTCACCCCCTATTACATGGGACTCATAACATAAATAGTAAAAAGTGGGTGTTACATTGTACAGTGGCATTAAGTGCCGTAATGTACACCTCTGCCTACCCCTTCGGGGATAAAAGGCATGATGTTATGTTATGTTATTACCAAAATAATTATTAATACTAGATCAAAAGATTCATTTCGTAAATCAAAACCGAAAATGTATACGTCTTTGTTTCAAGTTGCTTAGCAGTACAATGTTTATCATGTTAACGTTTGCTCTTTGTCGTGTAGGTCATTCACCTGGGAATTATAATGGGGATAGACAGGTGACAGATTTACTGACTAAAAACCACCCCAGTGCCGCATCTTCTCTTTTTAATTGGATAACCCTGTAAACGAGCAGACGGATCACCTGATGGTAAGCAATCGGCGTCGCCCATGGACACCTGAAACAGCAGAGGCGTTACAAGTAC